TTATTAGACTCTTGTCATGGTTCCTGGGAGATTTTCCTGTCAGTGGTTCTCCTTGACTCTCAACTTTACCCTTGATTCTCAATATCATCCTTCATATTCCATCATTTTACTCAGCCAGATCCAAAGCAAGGCTTTCTTAGTTTGCTTCCTGCCAATAAAATGTTTTCAGCCCAGCTGTATTGAACAGTTACAATCTCTTCGTCAATGAACAGTCATAGCATCTTTTAATTCAGGCTGTTGGAACTTTTGGAAATGAAATAAAAACACTTTTAGAAAATGATTCCAGCCAGTGCAGTAGCCCACACCTGTAGTCCTAGCTATGTGGAAGGATAGTTTGGGACCACCAGTTCAAGTCTAGCCTAGGCAACATAGAAAAGACTGTGTCTACAAAAAATTTTAAAAAGAAAATTAGCTGGACATGGTAGCTCACGGATATAGTCCCAGCTACTTGGGAAGCCGAGGTAGGTGGAGCCCTGGAGGTCAAGGCTACAGTCACTGCACTCCAGCCTGGGAGAGAAAGCAAGACTGTCTCAAAAAAGAAAAAAAGATTTAATTTTCTTTTAGAGACTTGACGCTAATCACGTAATGATAAGTTCTTTGAGCTAATTGGGATTCTGTTGTATTTTGCCTTAGTCTTAGTTACTGAGCCATTTTGTCCAATTGAAAGAGTTTATAGAGAGCCATGTTAATTCAGAGTTCTCAACAAAGGTGTGATAGCCAAGACTTTGATTGAATGTTTGCTCCCAAACTGTGCTTTAATAACCACAGTCTTATCCTCGTGGTCGTGTGCAAATTTGAAAATGTTTTACCATCTGGAGATGAGCAATAGCTGTTACTTTCAATCCTTCAATTTCTGAAATTTCTGGATTGTTATTTTTTACTTTACCTCTGCAATAATTTGAAAAAATATATCTAGTAAACTTGTGACTTGGACAGAGAAGTTTTTAATCAAAGCATACCTCTAGAAAGAAAATTTAGGTCATGTCATAAGTTTTACATGTGTGTACGTGTGTATTTACATATGGAATATATTTTTTACTTACATTTAAATTTTACTTTTATGAAATTGTATTATACTTATATTAAAAATTTAATCTCTTTGGTATTTATGCTCACTTTTTATTACTGACAATACTTATGTATGATTTTTCTCCTTTTTCCTTAATCTTGCTAGAAGCCTGTCAATTTTATTAATCTTTCCTAAATACCAACTTTGCTTTTGTGACATCTCTCTAGTATAGCTTTGCTTTCTATTTCATTAATTTTTGTGCCTATTTTTACAATTTTATTTCTTTAACTTTCTTTGGCATAATTCCTTTGTTCCTTAATATCTTGCTTCTTAAGTTGGATGCCTTGTCCATTCAGCTTTTTGTTTTTACTACTACATGCATCTAGCCTATAAATTTTCCTCTATGACCAATTATAGCTGAATCTAATACTATAATATACAGTTTTAAAGGTTTTTTTTCTAATATTCATCATGGTTTTTCCTTTATGAATCATTTAGAAGTATATTTAAATGTACAAGCACAGGCTGAGTAACCCATATCTGATATGCTTGAGACCAGAAGTATTTCTGATTTCAGATTTTTTAAAAGTTTGGATAATTGCATATAAATAATGCAATATCTTGAGGATATGACATAAGTCAAAAGATGAAATTCATTTATGTTTCATATACACTTTATATACATAGACTTAAGATAATTTTATATAACATTTTAAATAATTTTTTTGCATAAAACAAAGTTTTAACCCATCACATGAAGTCAGATTTAGAATTTGTCACTAGTGGTGACATATTAGTGCTCAAAAAGTTTTGAATTTTGAAACATTCTAGATTTTGGATTTTTAGATCAGGAATGTTCAATCTGTATGTGTGTTTTTAAATTGGTTTATATATCAATTGTGTTATTCAGAGAATATGTATGTTTGATAGTTAATTATGTTGAATCTTGATTTGTAGCAAAGTACAAAAAAGACCAGCTTATATTTGCATGAAATATAAGCTGCCCTTTCAGGTTGGGTTCAAAAAACAGAATCATTTTTTATAAATGTTTCATGTGAGATTATAAATAATAAGCATTCACAAAAAGACTTGTATAAAAATGTTTATATCCATTTACTCATAATAGCCCCAAACTGGAAATAGCTCATCAAATGAAAAATGGATAAAGTTTATTATTCACACAATGGAACACTATTCAATAACACTCAACAATAACAAGGCATGGCATATAATTCATGCAATAATGTAAATGAATCGCAAAACATTATGCTGAAAGAAGCCTTACATAAGAGTATATAAAAAGTGCAAAAGAGTAGGATTCCATTCATATGAGGTTCTAGAACTGGCAAAACTACTCTATTGTGGAAAAAGTATCAGGTTGCCATTGAATGGGGTGGGGAAGTAGAGACTGACTAGGAAAGGGAATGATAGAACTTTCTAGGGGCATGGTAATGTTCCACATCTTGATAAGGGTTTAAAACTGTAGAAACTCATCAAATTGTACATTTAAGGTTAATACATTTTTTATATTTTTTAATGTCTGAAAATGTCATTTTGTACTGTCATTTCTGAAGGTTAATTTAACTAAGTATATAATTTTGTGTTAATGGTCGGCTTGCACCAACACTTTGGAGACACTTTTCCACTGTTTTAGGGCTTCCATTGCTGTTGTTAAGAGTCCTCTGTTGTTTTAATTATGGTACTTCTGTAGAATCAGTTTGGCTGATTTTACTGTCTTCTCTTTATCTTAAAGGTTTGTTCATTCAGTGTAGGGGGATCTAAGTGAACGTTTCTTTTCATTTATTCTGTTGACAGTCTACAGGCTCTCAAATCTGATTCTGGTATCTTTCATCTATTCTAGAAAATGCTCAGCTCTTGGGCCTTGGAAGACTCTCTCTCCAACTTTTCAATATTAGTTCTTCTCAGTACTCTAGTTAGATATCGTGATACACTGTCTTACGCCGTCCTCCACTCTGTCTCTGCTACAGCCCGGACAGCATCTTCTAAACGGTCCCACAGTTCTTTAATCTCTTTTCAGCCATACTAAATCCACTGTTTAATCGTTAATTAGAAATGGTCTTCAATTTCAGTTGCTGTATTTTTAATTTCAAGAATTTCTTTCTTTCTTTCTTTCTTTTTTTTTTTTTGAGACAGAGCTTTGCACTTGTTGCCCAGGCTGGAGTGCAGTGGCATGATCTTGGCTCATTGCAACCTCCGCCTCCCAGGTTCAAGCGATTCTCCTACCTCAGTCTCCCAAGTAGCTGGAATTACAGGTGCCCACCGCCAGGCCCAGCTAATTTTTTGTATTTTTAGTAGAGACAAGGTTTCACCATGTTGGGCAGGTTGGTCTCAAACTCCTGACCTCAGGTGATCCGCCCGCCTCAGCCTCCCAAAGTGCTGGAATTACAGGCATGAGCCACCGTGCCTGGCCTTTGTTTTTGTTTTTAAATCTGATTGGTTATTTTTTGAGAAACTGTTACTATTTTGTTATAATTTTTTCACCTTTTAAAGATTTCTTTAAACATATAAATTTATTTTATATTGTGTATATGATAATCTCAATATCTATGGTCTTTAGGTGTCTGATTATGTGGTTTTTTTTCTTACTCTTACTCATGTATTTGTCTCCTCAGATGTGTTGTAATTTTTGTTTATCAATTAATGTTTCTTGAAATTCTTTTTTACATCTGGGTTAAAATGTCTTTAATGGAGTATGTGTATTTGCTTATGCTTGGTTCCTATAGATATTACTAATCTGGAACAACTTTAAAATAAATTTTCAGTCATTTTCATAAATGTCCTCAAACATGCATAAGTATAGTCTTGTAGTTGACCATTCTCAGGAGAGACTTTTTTTTTCTTTATTTAGCAAAAATCCAAAGCCAAGAATGGCAATTACTCTCTCTGTCTTCTGTAATGGGATAGGTTTTACCTAATTCAACTTTCAGAGGCCTGAACTTTAAGTGATGCTCTCTGGTGTAGCCTTACAGGCTTTGTCTTATACCTGCCATGTGCTTGGCGCATTAAGTCCAGGCAATGGGTCACCAGGGATTGACAGAAACCTCTGGGGAAATTACACTGACTCTCCTCCTGGATTTAGACATGTGATGGATGATGTCCTTGCATAAACTGGACTTTGTTGTTCAAAGTACAGTAATAACAGAGACTTCTAACCGATAGTTGTTATTATCATTTGAATATCACATGATTCCTTTTTCTCTGCATTTTGAGGAAAAATTGCCTTATCTTTAGACATCTAGCATAACTTGTTACCACTGGCTTCTTCAGTTAGTTTTCTTCACTAAATATCAGACATAGTGTATATGAAAAAATAGCGAAAGAATTTATCTTAGTAATGTATTACTTTCACCGTACCTTTCATTTCATTTGCAAAACCAAATGTTGGCTGGGGAAAGCAGTGACCACCACAATCTCTCCTCATCAAACACACACACACACACACACACACACACACACACACACACACACACACACACACACCATCAAACTCTCTCAGCCACTAAAAATAAACATAAATCCAATTAAAAACCATGTGCTTGCTCTGCAAACACAGCTTCATGTTAAATCTCTTGGCCTCCCCTTTCAACCAGATTGTCATCCCTAAATATCCTAAGTCTTCCTTTATACAAATTTTGGAGCCTGCACAGTTTTTTTCTGTTTCTGCCTTTAAATTCTCCAAAATCTTGGTTGTTGGATTGCCCTCCACTATTGATTTTGGATCAGTTATTTTTGCTTCCATGGAATCTTAAATCACTGTTCTCTTACATCCACAAACATGAGAATTTTCTTTCAGATTTTCAGTTCTAAAAAGCAGCTTCTTCCACCTCCAGTTCTGCTGTCATTTCACACATCTTACCTACTTCTAAAGAAAGATGTTTCAGTTAGATTCCTTTGTGTCATGTCAAAATGGATTTCCTTCTTTTCATATAAAACAACTTTGATTTCACCTTTCTCTTTCCTCAAAACCTAGGGATCACCACTGCAAAAGCTTCACCATCAGAGTGACATAGGGAAGGAGGGTTTTTAATGGGAGGATTCAAGCAAAAAGTAACAGTAAGTACTTTTTTCTTCACTGTATACTGCATATTGGTTAAAAACCTCCAAACTTTTGTCCCAGTTACCCAGATTAGTGTTTTGGTCCTTCAAATATTATGGTCTTAAGGGAGGTGTGTTCATTAAAAGAAAGTGGTGTTGACTTCTCTTCCACCTACCCAGAGAATGCAGCTCTCTCACGTGGAATGAGCAGAGGCAAGAGGAGATAAAGGATTTGGAACTTTGAGCCTCTTTCTCCTGATGCATGCACTGTGCTATTTCTTGTATATTTGTATTATTAAAAAAAAATAATAAGTGCTCTTTAAAATAAAAATGCAAATGTGTGAAGTAAGAAAGGTAAGTATCCTTGTTCCTCACCCCTTCTTCCTTCACACCCTGTGGGTAACCCCTGATAACAATCTGCTGTAACATTCTAGCTATCTCTATTCATCCATCTATCCACTTAATATATTTTAACTCCTCCTCATAACAACTACATGAAGTGGTAATATTATTACCTCGTTTTCCAATACAGAAAATGAGGCACTGTATAGGAGATACTTTCCCCAAATCTCAAGCTACTAAGCTTTGCGTCTGGCATTTTTAACTCAGGCATATTGACTCCAGTGTGTGTACTCTTTACTTTTTAAAACCATCGTTGAAATTTATTGTGAAATTTTGTTCATAAAGATGCATGGCTGTTATTTTTTGGTATATTACATCTTCTCTCAAAATTAAGTATCCTCTATAAGGCCTTTGCCATTAAGCTGCTATTCAGTTGCAATATAAGTTGCATCTAATATTAATATGTCACATTATTTTCTTCTTGTTGGTGTTTGCCATGGCACATCTATTTCCATAATGTATCTTTTTGGCCTGTTAAATAGAATTTTGTCTTATTGGTATCTGTCAGCATAAAGGCGGATTTCCTTTGTACTCAAACCTAAGAGTTATTTAGTTTTTAATATAAGTTTTTAATTATGTTTTTATCCCAACCTAAGTGTCACTTAGTGTTAATGGAGGTGAATTTCCTTTTTATTCCAGTCTAAGAGTCCTTAGTTGTTAATACAGATTTTGATTCATTCACATTTATTGCCTTATGGATTTATTTTTGAACATTCTTTAAATATTTTTTTACTTTAAAGTCTTTCTTGTTTCTTTTTGCTTTCTTTCCTATCTGAATTGGACACATTTTCTTTATTCCATCTTTTAATTGTTTTTATTTTATGTATTCTACTTTCTAGGACTTACTTTAGTAATACTTATAATTTAAGTATGTTGATTTAAAAAGTCAGTCTCTAAAATTAACCGGTCTCTGATTTTCCTCATCATATTCCCATCCCTCTTTCTACACCTGTTGTGGTTATTTTACTGAGGTGGCATGGATCTCCCATCCAAAATTTTGTGTGTGTATAAAGACTGATGATACCACAGACCTACCAACATGTTATGAAAAGGTTTATTATTCACATACTAAGGCTTTCTGTGGGAGAGCAACATGGACTTTTTAGCTGGTTCAATTCTGGCTTGAGACAGGAGGGAAAGGAGACAATCTCAGCTTGTGATTGGGGTTGGAGCTGCAGTGAGGGTTCTTGCTCACTGGCAGAGGCTTATGTAGATTGCCCTTCTGCTGGCACCAAAGGAGGGACAATCAGAACTTTGTTATCAGCCTGCTCAGATGCTAGGAAGAAGGAAAAGGGGAAATGGTGGGACTGTTTTATCAAAATATCAGAAATGGAGTCACACTCTATTACAATTCCTTCCATGTTGAGAGCATTTGGGATTTTAGTTCCAGATTGTTAATTACTTTTTCAATGTATATCAAAACATTTTTTGATTTAAATAGAAGTGTGATTGTTTTCTTTGTTGATTACCATTTCTTATGTCTAACAATTTAATTCTCTCTGGGCTCACGTTTTATTTTGCAAGAACACATTTTTCTTCTGAAGTGGTCTAGAATGATAGCTATTTTTGTCTTTCTACTGAATGCTAGTTTTGCTAGATAGAGGACTTTTCTACAAAACAGTCTTCTCTCAAAACATAAATCCTATGTCCTCTTCTAGTATCCACTTTTGCCAATGAGAACTCAGACTGTAAATCTGATTTGATTTTTATCTCCCCCAACCCCTCTTGAATCTGTATTCTTTTTTAAATTGATAAATAATAATTGCATATATTCATAGGGGACAATGTGTTGTTTCAATACATGTGTACGTTGTGGAATGAGCATGTCAGACTAACTAATATATCCATTGTCTCACATACTTAAAATTTCTTTGAGGTGAGAATATTTAAAATCAACTCTTTTAGTAATTTTGAAATGTATACTACATTATTGTGAACTGTAGTCACCTTGCAGTGCAATAGATCACCAGAAATTAGAACTCCTATCTAACTGAAACTTTGCACCCTTTGACCAACATCTCTCCTTTCCCACTCCACAGCCCAACCCCAGCCTCTTGTAACCACCATTCTATTCTCTACTTCTATAAGTTTGACATTTTAAGATTTTGCATATAGGTGAGATCATGAAATATTTATTGAGATGTTTTATTCTTAGTCTTGTGATCTAAAGTTTCAATCTTTAGGTATTAGGTATATATTGTTGTATTTAGGTATATAAAACAATTTATTATAATTTATTGTTTGGCATTCAATGGGTCCTTTTAGTCTGAAGTCTCAACTTTGTCTCTAATTCTCATCTTACTGCTCACTCATTTGCTCTTCATCCATGTTAATTCTGCCATTCAGTTCATATACTAACATTTTAATTTTGGTAATACTACTTTTGATTTTTGGGGTTGTTCATTGTGATGGCAATATTGAGTGTCAACTTGATTGGATTGAAGGATGCAAAGTATTGTTCCTGGGTGTGCCTGTGAGGGTGTATTCAAAGGATATTAATACTTGAGTCAGTGGACTAGGAGAGGCAGACCCACCCTCAATCTGGGTTGGTACCATCTAATCAGCTGCCAGCACAGCCAGGATAAAAGCAGGCAGAGGAATGTGGAAGAACTAGACTGTCTTCTGGCCTCCATTTTTCTCTCATGCTGGATACTTCCTGTCCTCAAATATCAGACTCCAAGTTCTTCAGTTTTTGGGCTCTTAGACCTACACCAATGATTTTCCAGGGGCTCTCAGGCCTTTGGCCACAGACTGAAGACTGCACTAGCAGTTTCCCTACTTTTGACATGTTGGGTCTCGGACTGGCTTCCTTTCTCCTCAGCTTGCAGATGGCCTACTATGGGACTTCATCTTGGGATTGTGTGACTCAATACTCCTTAGTAAACTTTCTTTTATATATGCATCTATCCTATTAGTTCTGCTTTTCTACAGAACCCTGACTAATACAGATTTTGGTACTGGGAGTGGGGTGCTGCCGTAAAGATACCTGAAAATGTGGAAGCAACTTTGGAACTAGTAACAGGCAGGGATTGGAACAGTTTGGAGGGCTCAGAAGAAGACAGGAAGATGTGGGAAAGTTTGGAACTTCCTAGAGACTTGTTGAATGGCTTTGACCAAAATGCTGATAGTGTTATGGACATAAAAGTCCAGGCTGAGGTGGTGTTAGATGGAGATGAGGAACTTATTGGTAACTGGAATAAAGATGACTCTTACTATGCTTTAGCAAAGTGACTGGACGCATTTTTCCCCTGCCCTAGAGATCTGCGGAACTGTGAGTCCATTAAACCTCTTTCCTATATACCCAGTCTCTGGTATGTCTTTATTAGCAGCATGAGAACTGAAAAATACAGTTCTCCTATTCACTTTTCATATTTGTAACATCACTTGCAACTTCTCTAAGGATATCCAATATCTTTATTTAAAGTGACCCCCCCCAACTTTTTTGCTTATTTTGTTAGCTTTATTTCTTCAAGAGTTAGTTCTATTTCTCTCTCCTTTGTTGTTGGGTTTTTGTTTGTTTGTTTGTTTGTTTCTGACAGAATCTTGCTTTGTCACCCAGGTTGGAGTACAGTGGTGTGATCTCAATTCAATGCAACCTCCGCCTCCCAGGTTCAAGCGATTCTCATGCCTTAGCCTCCTGAGTAACTGGGACTACATGCATGTGACACCGGGCCCAGCTAATTTTTGTATTTTTAGTAGAGATGGGGTTTCATCATGTTGCCCAGGTGGGTCTCTAAATCCTGAGCTCAAGTGATCCACCTGCCTCAACCTCCCAAAGTGCTGAGGTTACAGGCATAATCCTGTTTATTTTTACTATGTTGTTGGATTTTCTTAAATGTTTGTGAATTTTTGATTATCTCCTCATTTTTCTGTTTGAAAATACCTGTTTGCTTCAATGAGGATCTGGTTTCGATATATAAGCATAGTTTCTGTGGTGTTTGGGTGTGGATTGAATGTCCTTCAAGATGGGGTACATCTGTAACATGTTTCATGCATGGAGGCTGCCCCATTTTTCCTAATTTGTCAGCTATTAGAAGCATTGTCCTGACTCTAGTTCAAGCACCCACACTATCTGCACTTCTAGAGGAAGTCTTTCCACAACAACTTACCTCTCAAGTGAGGATCAGGGAGAGAAGCCAAATGCCATGTTGTCCCACATACATTTTCTTGGCTATTAACACTTATATTTATCCCATGGCAGCTTTTGCTTTTTATTTTTCATCTTTGTAGGTATATTTATAAGCACATATTTTCTCCCATTTCTAGAGGTCTGGGGTCCAGACTCTTATCTTGAACAATCTCTGTTGCCCTACATTTTAGCCTTTTACATCTTGGGTTTCCATGTAAGATTTCATTTGAAAACAAGTGAATGAGCCTTTAAAGTGAGCCTTTAAAAATCTCTTCAAACATGACCCTATATCCATTAATAATTTCACTTCATGAGCAGCATGCTGATAACTTGTATTATGCTTTGTACATTGCTATATTCTTATTAGTGATGATACTAATGCAATGTCAAGTCAACATTTTTTGAGAGGCAGTTATGAAGAATAAAATTTTCAATTAATACCAGAAGGGGATATAAGTAGACCTAATGATAATGACTTGCATTTATAAAAGGAATTTCTTCCTATAATGAAAACTGACATTAGTTTCTTACATACCTTGATCTAGCATTGTTAGATCTTAGTTGTGGTTAGGGTCCTGGGAAAACTCAAAGACTCTAAGTGAGTGCAATGTTGCAATCTTGTAAGAGTTTTAGTAATATGCTGCACTATTTTAGATTAGGTTTAGCAGATAATCGCAGATGGTGTAATGCAACCACTGGTATGGCTAAGATGTAGAACTTCCCTGGCATGTGGGAAGCCATGTTCTGTTCAATTTGCAGTATTCTGCAGTGCACTATAAGCAACATTGGACAGG